GAGTTGTAGGCTGTTTTCTGACTAATGTATTCTGTATAATACATAGGATTGTGTTCTAAGGGAGTAATTCTGTGGTCCCTAGACATGGTTGGAAGGGGTCATAGTATCCTGTGGATTCCCCCACTCTGATGTTGGAGACAGCACTCCAACCTTGGGGAGGCTGAGATCTGACCTCTCCCCCCCCCCCTTGTAGCCAACACCAAAAGAACTGTACCAGCAGCTATCAGAAAATTGCCCTTGGAGAATAGGAGAAGTGGGCAGAATTAGGGTTATTTTAAGCCTCCTTCCCTTCTCATTGGAAAGGTCATCTAGAGAAATATGCAGGGCAGGAGAAAAAGGAGGTGAACATCAACTGCCCCACTCCTCCTGTCCTGCATTGGTTGATTGGAAGCCTCCAAGGTCATCAGCTTCCAATCACTGTGGGTGCAAATCCAATGAAGTTGAGACTAAAAGGGCCTAGAATGTAAGCCTAGGGGAAGGAAGGTGGTAACTTTTATTTCCTGCATGACACTAGTGTTTTTATTTATCTGTTCAGCCACCCAGCCATTCATCTGTTTGCTCATATATCTCTGGAATGAAATAAACCCAGATAGCACATGATTCCAAGCCTTTATCAGCAGCCCAGTATGCAGAAGGAGGGAGAAGGGAATTGAGGGAGGAGGTAGATGTGATCTCTTGTGAATGACCCCATTCTTGTACTGGCTGGAGGAAGCGGAAGGACAAAATCTACTGCAAGGCTGGAGAACCTCCAGGCTTTGGGGCAGAATGTGTATGCTTGTTTCAAAGAAATCCTGTATCAGAAAGGATAAGGATTCCTGTTCAAGCCAGTCTTTCACCTATTTGTTTCAGTGGAAATAAAAGTAGCTGATTTTTCATGTAGACTGGATGTCTCAGACATTAGTCATTATTCTGATAAAGTGCACTTGGTTCCCTTAACCCATCATGGGCAACAGTTCTTAAGCATGTTTAAAATATTTTAAACTTTTCAAATGTATAAACTTTTGTAAACTTTCTGAAGCTGATCAGGTAGCTTGTTAGTGGGACATTATACGGTATTTAAAATAGCCTTTACAAATGCTGTAATTCTATGCACAGTTATGAGTAAGCCCAAATGAACTCAGTAGGACATACTCCTGAGTAAGCACATTTACTATTGGACCAGCAGAGTACAACTAGGAGAATCCAACCCCTTCCAGTCCCTGCCCTTCAGATCTTGTTAGTACACATCAGGTATTAAAATATGGATGAAGGAATTTTGTTTTGGATGGATCTGGCATGCAGCAGCAGCACCACTGGACCCAAGGGCAAGCTGGCAAAATAGCCACAAACCATCTGGCTGGAGGGAAAGCTAGAAGAGGAATTAGGGATAAGGTATCTAATCCTTCTAATCCTCAACTGGCCTATTAATCCCCCAAGGCACACTGTTCCCTCCCCATGACCACAGCAATAGAGCCACTGCATCGCCAGTTTATCCAGTGAATTTCCCAAGCACTTATTAAAACCCTATATAAAAGAGATAGGCTCTAGCCTGGCACTTCTCTATCTATTGAAAAGTTCAGCCAGATGTTAATTGGCAATGGGCAGCAACCTGTTTGTCAGCCAAGAGGTTGTTCTTTGCCCTTCCTGTAGCAACTAACAAGGAGCAGGTGCGGGGTGATCTTGCGTGATTCCACCTGTCCCTCTGCTCTCTTGGCACCTGCATTTTGCTGCTGGTTATTGCTTGGGTGCATTTAGCTAAGCAGAAGTGGCCCTAGCCCCACTTCTGTCTATCTCTGTTGCTCAAGTTGGCAAACCAGGCCAGGAAGACAAAAGATGGAATTTCCTTCCTAGCCAGTGATGGTCTCATTAGATACCTTGCAGTTTCTAACAGTGTCACAGCAGAAAGCCACAGGCTAGGAACCAAGCCCAAGAGTGCCCTGCATTATATAAAGACTACTTATAGAAAGTTTGCAAAGTGTCTTGAACACCACAAACTACTGTAAATGCTAAGCATTTGTATGCTTCTCATTTTCCTGGAGTGATGGTAAGCCCATTTGTAGTGCAACTGGGCCAGATTCTGGATCAGACTGCACTGCATGACTCTTCATGATATCTGTTAAATCCCACATACAAGATGGGTGTCTTGAAAGCAAACAGAGACTGGGTTCAGACACCATGATAATCCATACAGAGAAGAACCTCATGTAGAATAATTATGCTGGCTGGATTCAGACAACAGGAAAACCTACACTTAGGGGTTGAGTAAAGGTTGTGCCCCTTCATGAATCACTGCCTTGCCGTGGCGAAGGGGCTTGTGTAGTGCAATGAAGCTATGAGGTATGCCGTGCAGGGCCACCCAAGACGGACAGGTCATAGCAAAGAGTTCTGACAAAAGGTGATCTGCTGGAGAAGGAAATGGCAACCTTCATGGCGGTATCTTTGCCATGAAAACCCCATGGACAGTACTAAAAGGCAAAAAGATATGATGCCGGAAGATGAGCCCCTCAGGTCGGAAGGTGTCCAATATGCTACTGGGGAAGAGCAGAGGGCTAGTATTAGTAGCGCCAAAAATAATGAAGCGACTGGGTCAAAGCCGAAAGGACACTCAGTTGCAGATGTATCTGTTGGTGAAAGGAAAGTCCAATGCTGTAAAGAACAATACTGCATAGGAACCTGGAATGTAAGATCTATGAATCAAGGTAGATGAATCTTCAAGGTAGCATTCATAGAAGCTGGATGTGGTCAGACGTGAGATATCAAGACTGAACATCGACATTTTGGGAATAAGTGAACTAAAATGGACAGGAATGGGTGAACTTAATTCAGATGACCATCAGGTATACTACTGCGGGCAAGAATCCCTCAGAAGAAATGGAGTAGCCTCCATAGCCATTAAAAGAGTAGGAAAAGCAGTACTGGGATACAGTCTCCAAAGTGACAGAATGATCTCAGTTGGAATCCAAGGCAAACCATTCAACATCACAGTACTCCAAGTTTATGTCCCAACCACGGAATTGGATCTAATATACAGAGTGCCTGAAGAACTATGGACAGAGGTTTACAACATTGTACAAGAGGCAGTAACTAAAACCATCCCAAAGAAAAATGCAAGAAAGTAAAATGGCTGTCTGAGGAAGCTTTACAAATAGCTGAGGAAAGAAGGGAAGCGAAAGGCAAGGGAGAAAGGGAAAGATACACGCAACTGAATGCAGAATTCCAGAGAACAGTTAGATGAGATAAGAATGTCTTCTTAAATGAACAGTGCAAAGAAATAGAAGAAAACAATAGAATAGGGAGGACCAGAGATCTCTTCAAGAAAACTTGAGATATGAAGGGAACGTTTCATGCAAAGATGGGCATGATAAAGGACCAAAATGGCAGGGACCTAACAGAGGCAGAAGAGATCTCTGGTCCTCCCTATTCTATTG